ATATACGTGAAAACTTTTCTCCCAATGAAAGGTTGTGAGTAGCGTGTGTCCTTGTCTTCTTTCTTGTGGTCATCCGTTTTATTTAGCGCTAACGTATCTCAGCCAGTTACGCGTGACACATGGTTAACGAGGTGAAGTCATACACTCACTTCATAACTGTTTGATTGATTGATATGTGGGGTTGAACGTCCCAAAACCACTATATGATTACGAGAGACGCCGTAGTGGAAGGCTCCGGAAATTTAGACCACCTGGGGTTCTTAAACGTGCACCCAAATCTGACCACACGGGCCTACAACATTTCCGCCTCCATCGGAAATGCAGCCGCCGCAGCCAGGATTTGATCACTTCATAACTGTGTTTTATTCCCTTCGCCACCATGGTATAAACTTCTAATTGCATGATATACTCCTTAGAAAAGAACAAGAAATTTTGTATTTTATCCACAATATTTCACTGAATGTTAATCTTCTGCCTTTCAAAGTGCTGGCAATGAAGTTTGGCTACCAATTGACTCTTCGAAGGTGTGCAGCGTGCAATTTGCTCCAACCGAATATAAGCCGGGACTAAAGATAAAAAGACTGAAAGTGGATGCTGTGCCGTCAGTGTGCCCGCACTAGCCAAAGTACATGGTGCCGCCCGTGTCAAACATCTGCCGCACCTTGAAACGTTCCAATGTTCAGGAACATGAGCCCTGCCCTAAGAAAAAAAAGTAATTAACCATGTTTCATGCCTGACGTCTCCCGACGCTCTTGCACACAAATTATACCAATGAAAACAGATTTCAAGGCAAGGCGTACAACAGAACGCATTTTTTTAATGCAGGAAGAAAACAGGTTCAGCCCCGGTGCAGCAGAACTTGACATCAAGCGACATATGTCATTAGTACCATCCGCAAACACAACTGCGGGACCATCCTCAGGCTTTATGCACCCTCTCACCGAATTTCAACGCACAGAACCACCTGAAACTGCACCTGGCGACAAAGTAAAAAAAAAAGACCGACGCTCCTTGACCACGCAAACAACTATAACCATAGTGGGCAGCGCACAAAGGAAACACACAAGAGAAGGAATCAGGACAAGCGCTGGAGAAAGAAAGTAAATTGCTAAAGAAAGTAAATAGTAACGCGCAGCCCACCAACCAACCAGCAACCTCTCAACGCGAGCAAAAGCGTTTTGCAGTGATTCCCTATGTACATTCCATTTCACATAGATTAAAGAAAGTTGGGGGGCAGTATGGGGTTGACGTTGTTTTTTCAAGTGGGAATAAATTGGGTAGCTTATGTGGCAAGATTCATAGACGCGTTAAGGGAATTACGAGGGCGGTTGATAACACTTGTTCAATCAAGCACGTTAAGAAGTATACCGCATGTTCGACCGGGGTAGTCTATAAAATTCCTTGCTCGTGCGGGAGTGTCTGCATAGGACAGACCGGTAGATGTATTAATATTAGGCTACGGGAGCATGAAAATTCTTTAAAGGGTGGGGTTCTGTCTCACCTCGCCAGCCATTGCCGCGATTGCGGTTGTATTCCTTCTTTTGAGCAAACCGCAATCATCGACCGCCATCATAATCAAAGGACACGTGAGATTGCTGAGGCTTACCACATGGCGAAGAGTGTTGGCATTTGCGTTAGCCAGCCATCTGTTTCTTTATCTGAACAGGAGATTGGTTTCATTGATCGGAAGTAATCTTGCGTAGCACTTGATTTTCTGTGTACACATGTATATATATGCTTTCTTTCAAATAAAACTTTCAGTTGTTAGACCAGCGCTTGTCCTGATTCCTTCTCTTGTGTGTTTCCTTTTGTGCGCTGCCCACTATGGATAAGTTCCAACTCGCCCGCCTTTCGGTGCTACAACAGTTTATTGCTAGTTCTTCGGGCTCTCTTTTGTGTCAATACGTCAATTTCATGGACGCATCTGCCATTTCTTCAGTCATCGCCGTTTGCATCTGCCGTGCACGGACTGCTTCGTGGTATGCCAGGATTTCACAGTGTCCCCGGATCTTCAGGGGCTGTGCGGTTGGCTACAGCCGTCCCCCAGTCATGTTAGGAGAGTGTGCCGACTTCTGCGCTCGGAGTGGTGGCGGCAGGCGCGGTTCTTCAGAAGCTGTTTGCGGGTATGCTGTGGTGCTGAAGGCGACGACCGTCGGAAGCGGCGACTCTACGCTGATTGGTGCTCGGCCACGGACGCGGCGACTGAGTACCTTTGGAGGGCCGTGCTGGTGACGCTACCACCACGACCGAAGGCGAAAAAAGGTACAGGTCGGGTTGTGCTTCTTGGAGGTGCCCACATTGAAGAATATGACCAGGAATTTCTGGGGCTTGGTCCCAAATTTGCCTTTGAACCAAAGCTCACCGCCACGGAAAAATTGGCAATGACTCATTCCGTTGCTAACCAGGTTTCTGAGCCTAACCGATCCTTTTGTTTGAAACAGTGTATTGATGTGGTTTCCAAGTGCAGTACGAGATTCAGTCGAGATGGCCAGTCGCGACGCTTAGTAAACTCTTTTGCCGCAAGTGATTTGCGGCTTTTGGTGTCAGATAAGGAAGGATCCTTCGTCGTGATGCCCGCGGGCATGTTTCAGGATAAGGCTGTTCAAGCAATGCAAAAAAACTTCAAACCAGTCACTTGTAAGCCGGCTTCTGTTAAGAAGAAGGCATTGGCATTATTGTCAGACCTAAAGCTTGAACGACTGAGGTCCTTGGCGAAGAATTCAAAAAGCCTGGAGTTGCAGGTGTTCTTCTCCGCCAAGACGCATAAACCCGATGTACCCTTTCGGGCAATTGTGTCGGAGCGTGGCTCGTGGCAACACGTTGTCTCGGGCTACTTGCAAACCCACCTCAGCTCGTTGAATTTAGTGGATCCATTCTTGGTTAGGAATTCACTACAGGTTGTTGATTTCTTGGGTAATCAGAACCTTTGGGAAAAAAAGTCTGCCTTCAGTGTCGATGTTCAGGACCTGTTCTACTCACTGCCGCATAATTTTCTGTTACTATGTGTTAAGGAAACTATCACTGAACTGAATGAAGAAACGCGGTTTGTTGACAAATGTGGTATTTCTGTTCAAAGTTTCCTTGAACTTCTTCGTTTTTGTCTTGATTCTACTTTTGTTTCTTGGCAAGGGGATTTGTTTGTTCAGGCCTCAGGTGTATGCATAGGTTCCAGAGTTGCCCCGGTCCTAAGGGACATATTGTTGAGTAGAATGATCGCGATCTAGAAAGAGATTTTGAGGGTTGGGGGACTCGTATATTTAGGTATGTGGATGATTACTTGGTTTTTTGGATAGTGTTAGTAGCTTACATGATAAGGTGAACATTCTCAAGGCATTTAGGGAAAGGGGGCAGGGTCTTCAGTTTACGTGTGAAGTTCCCAATGAAAAGAATGAGCTTCAGTTCCTTGACCTAACATTGCGATTCCAGGATGCGCATGTCTGTTGGTTATACGCTCCCAGGTCGGCTAAACCCCTCCTAAACTTTAAATCTGCTCATTCTAAACTGGTAAAAAATGGTATAGTCACTTCATGCCTTCACGCAGCTGTCGCAAAATCTTGTTTCCATGCCACAGAGGAAAGCTTTCGTAATCAGTGTGATCGGCTTAAGACAGCGGGTTTTCCCACCGCCTTTCTCGTTTCTGCTTCCGAGCGTTTGCTAAAGAAAGTAAATAGTAACGCGCAGCCCACCAACCAACCAGCAACCTCTCAACGCGAGCAAAAGCGTTTTGCAGTGATTCCCTATGTACATTCCATTTCACATAGATTAAAGAAAGTTGGGGGGCAGTATGGGGTTGACGTTGTTTTTTCAAGTGGGAATAAATTGGGGTAGCTTATGTGGCAAGATTCATAGACGCGTTAAGGGAATTACGAGGGCGGTTGATAACACTTGTTCAATCAAGCACGTTAAGAAGTATACCGCATGTTCGACCGGGGTAGTCTATAAAATTCCTTGCTCGTGCGGGAGTGTCTGCATAGGACAGACCGGTAGATGTATTAATATTAGGCTACGGGAGCATGAAAATTCTTTAAAGGGTGGGGTTCTGTCTCACCTCGCCAGCCATTGCCGCGATTGCGGTTGTATTCCTTCTTTTGAGCAAACCGCAATCATCGACCGCCATCATAATCAAAGGACACGTGAGATTGCTGAGGCTTACCACATGGCGAAGAGTGTTGGCATTTGCGTTAGCCAGCCATCTGTTTCTTTATCTGAACAGGAGATTGGTTTCATTGATCGGAAGTAATCTTGCGTAGCACTTGATTTTCTGTGTACACATGTATATATATGCTTTCTTTCAAATAAAACTTTCAGTTGTTAGACCAGCGCTTGTCCTGATTCCTTCTCTTGTGTGTTTCCTTTTGTGCGCTGCCCACTATGGATAAGTTCCAACTCGCCCGCCTTTCGGTGCTACAACAGTTATTGCTAGTTCTTCGGGCTCTCTTTTGTGTCAATACGTCAATTTCATGGACGCATCTGCCATTTCTTCAGTCATCGCCGTTTGCATCTGCCGTGCACGGACTGCTTCGTGGTATGCAGGATTTCACAGTGTCCCCCGGATCTTCAGGGGCTGTGCGGTTGGCTACAGCCGTCCCCCAGTCATGTTAGGAGAGTGTGCCGACTTCTGCGCTCGGAGTGGTGGCGGCAGGCGCGGTTCTTCAGAAGCTGTTTGCGGGTATGCTGTGGTGCTGAAGGCGACGACCGTCGGAAGCGGCGACTCTACGCTGATTGGTGCTCGGCCACGGACGCGGCGACTGAGTACCTTTGGAGGGCCGTGCTGGTGACGCTACCACCACGACCGAAGGCGAAAAAAGGTACAGGTCGGGTTGTGCTTCTTGGAGGTGCCCACATTGAAGAATATGACCAGGAATTTCTGGGGCTTGGTCCCAAATTTGCCTTTGAACCAAAGCTCACCGCCACGGAAAAATTGGCAATGACTTATTCCGTTGCTAACCAGGTTTCTGAGCCTAACCGATCCTTTGTTTGAAACAGTGTATTGATGTGGTTTCCAAGTGCAGTACGAGATTCAGTCGAGATGGCCAGTCGCGACGCTTAGTAAACTCTTTTGCCGCAAGTGATTTGCGGCTTTTGGTGTCAGATAAGGAAGGATCCTTCGTCGTGATGCCCGCGGGCATGTTTCAGGATAAGGCTGTTCAAGCAATGCAAAAAAACTTCAAACCAGTCACTTGTAAGCCGGCTTCTGTTAAGAAGAAGGCATTGGCATTATTGTCAGACCTAAAGCTTGAACGACTGAGGTCCTTGGCGAAGAATTCAAAAAGCCTGGAGTTGCAGGTGTTCTTCTCCGCCAAGACGCATAAACCCGATGTACCCTTTCGGGCAATTGTGTCGGAGCGTGGCTCGTGGCAACACGTTGTCTCGGGCTACTTGCAAACCCACCTCAGCTCGTTGAATTTAGTGGATCCATTCTTGGTTAGGAATTCACTACAGGTTGTTGATTTCTTGGGTAATCAGAACCTTTGGGAAAAAAAGTCTGCCTTCAGTGTCGATGTTCAGGACCTGTTCTACTCACTGCCGCATAATTTTCTGTTACTATGTGTTAAGGAAACTATCACTGAACTGAATGAAGAAACGCGGTTTGTTGACAAATGTGGTATTTCTGTTCAAAGTTTCCTTGAACTTCTTCGTTTTTATCTTGATTCTACTTTTGTTTCTTGGCAAGGGGATTTGTTTGTTCAGGCCTCAGGTGTATGCATAGGTTCCAGAGTTGCCCCGGTCCTAAGTGACATATTGTTGAGTAGAATTGATCGCGATCTAGAAAGAGATTTTGAGGGTTGGGGGACTCGTATATTTAGGTATGTGGATGATTACTTGGTTTTTTTGGATAGTGTTAGTAGCTTACATGATAAGGTGAACATTCTCAAGGCATTTAGGGAAAGGGGGCAGGGTCTTCAGTTTACGTGTGAAGTTCCCAATGAAAAGAATGAGCTTCAGTTCCTTGACCTAACATTGCGATTCCAGGATGCGCATGTCTGTTGGTTATACGCTCCCAGGTCGGCTAAACCCCTCCTAAACTTTAAATCTGCTCATTCTAAACTGGTAAAAAATGGTATAGTCACTTCATGCCTTCACGCAGCTGTCGCAAAATCTTGTTTCCATGCCACAGAGGAAAGCTTTCGTAATCAGTGTGATCGGCTTAAGACAGCGGGTTTTCCCACCGCCTTTCTCGTTTCTGCTTCCGAGCGTTTGCTAAAGAAAGTAAATAGTAACGCGCAGCCCACCAACCAACCAGCAACCTCTCAACGCGAGCAAAAGCGTTTTGCAGTGATTCCCTATGTACATTCCATTTCACATAGATTAAAGAAAGTTGGGGGGCAGTATGGGGTTGACGTTGTTTTTTCAAGTGGGAATAAATTGGGTAGCTTATGTGGCAAGATTCATAGACGCGTTAAGGGAATTACGAGGGCGGTTGATAACACTTGTTCAATCAAGCACGTTAAGAAGTATACCGCATGTTCGACCGGGGTAGTCTATAAAATTCCTTGCTCGTGCGGGAGTGTCTGCATAGGACAGACCGGTAGATGTATTAATATTAGGCTACGGGAGCATGAAAATTCTTTAAAGGGTGGGGTTCTGTCTCACCTCGCCAGCCATTGCCGCGATTGCGGTTGTATTCCTTCTTTTGAGCAAACCGCAATCATCGACCGCCATCATAATCAAAGGACACGTGAGATTGCTGAGGCTTACCACATGGCGAAGAGTGTTGGCATTTGCGTTAGCCAGCCATCTGTTTCTTTATCTGAACAGGAGATTGGTTTCATTGATCGGAAGTAATCTTGCGTAGCACTTGATTTTCTGTGTACACATGTATATATATGCTTTCTTTCAAATAAAACTTTCAGTTGTTAGACCAGCGCTTGTCCTGATTCCTTCTCTTGTGTGTTTCCTTTTGTGCGCTGCCCACTATGGATAAGTTCCAACTCGCCCGCCTTTCGGTGCTACAACTATAACCAGCCAGAAGATGCGCCGTGTGATGACGTCCCCAAATCATCGCGCCGAAAATGCCAAACCATGGTAAGAAATAATGTTGAATTAAAAGCGCAAATAGCCAAGGTGAACCATGGGGTTGCAGAGGTTAAGCTGCTCTCCGAAAGAGCAAACACTGCAGTCTTGCAGGTAAAGTTGTTTGCTGATGTTGTTTGCGGTTGGTGCTGTTTCGTTTCAAAACAGTTGCAGAGTGTTTTTCATTGATTATTCATGTACCTGCGATCTACATTTGCCATTTGAGACGAAAGTATTTATGCGCTAGATTGTCTGTATTGGTTTTTTTCTATGCGCGCTGAATGCCACAGCCACTGTCAAATGTCATAGCTCTTGCCCTTTCTTGTCCAGACATTAAGTTCAATCCAGCTGAGTGTACGGCAACAAGTCTACCATTGTATACACGTACGCCCGTATCATGAGTTAAATAACCATTTGGTGGGCCAGCACTTTTTACAACCTGTCTCTGTCATCATACTTCCTTGTTTTGCACGCTGATACACGTGTTTGTGGTTTTGTATCTGATTTACGATTCTTTTTGAAAAGTAATGCCCTGAAATGTCAACTAAAATGTAAAAGAAGATTCTCAAAGTCACATGAAATAAAATGATTCAAGATACCCGCCATATTTACTCAATGCATGATGAAACTCTTCTCGAACCGGCAGTAACCCATGCATTTCCATGCATTAAGCAGTGCTGAGATGGGGTAACTCGAGTGCCCACAGGTGGTGAAGTTCGGCATCCCAGCCTGCGGAGGCAGCTCCGTAGACCGCCGCCAGCTGGGCAGGTCAGGAGTACAGTAGGTCGTGCTTCAAACCTAAGCTATAGTGAACTAGATAGGGGTAGTGGGAGGGAAGTGGTCCTCCAGGGGTGGCCGTTTGTACGGAAACCACTAGGCGGCGCTGGGGCGCTTTTTTCTTGAAGCCCGCCGCAGTGGGCGCTTGCATGCCGCAATTTCAAATGACGAGTGCGATATGTTTAACGGTGCTCCTAAATTCCTTATTGCCTAAATTGTACACTGAGTACAAAAAGAGAATATATAGTTTGGTCTTGGAAGCTCCAAGACGTGAGATTTTAGGCACAAACCTATCAGTGAGAAAGTTTTTGGAACTGTGCGTGGCTATTCCTACAGAATGGATGCGGCTCTGCACAGCCGATGCCGTCGACGCAAAAGAGAGAAAGAGAGACAGACAGACAGACAGACAGACAGACAGACAGACAGACAGACAGACAGACAGACAGACAGACACATAAACAATTTCAAGAATGGATCGAACCAATTTAATTAACGCAAAAACACGCTTTCACATGCAGACGGATGGACCGATAGACGGCCGCGTAAAGAGGTTATGTGCCCCAAGGCATACGAGACACGAGATGGCAGTAATTGAAGTGTTCACTAGATGGATGCACGGACGGACGCATGGACGGACGGACAGACACACTAGCAGACGGACGTACGGAGAGACGGACGCGTAAAGCGGGTATTTGCCACATGGTATGCGAGATGGCGGTACTTGAGGTATTCACTAGATTGATGCACGAATGAACAAACAAACAGCCTAGCAGACGGACGGACGGATAGACGGGCGCGTAAAGCGTCCATGTGCCACAGGGTTTGCGAGATGGCTGTACTTGGAGTGTTCACTAGATGAACGCACGGATGGGCGCATGGTCGGACGAACAGGCAGTCTAGTAGGACGGACGGATAGACGGACACGTAAACCGGGTATGTGCCACGGGGTATGCGAGATACGAGATGGTGGTACTTGGAGTTTTCACTAGATGGACGCACGGATGGACGCATGGGCGGACGGACAGAATAGCAGAGGGATGGACGAATAGACGGACGTGTACAGTGGGTGGGTGCGACAGGGTATGCGAGATGGCAGTACTAAGAGTGTTCAATGGATGAACGCCCAGACGGATGCGTGGGTGGACAGACAGACAGACTAGCAGACAGACGGACGAATTTATTGGACGGATAAAGCGGGAATGTGCCAAAAGTTTTGCGAGATAGCGTAACATTGTTCACCATGTGGACGCACGAATGCACGCATGGACGGACGGACAGACACAGCAGATGTATGTATGGATTGGCGGACGCGTAAAGCGGGTATGTGCACAGGGTATGCGAGGTGGCAGTACTGGGAGTGTCCACTAGGTGGGTGCACCAATGCACGCATAGACAGACGGAGAGACATAGAAGTTTGATGGACAGATAGACGGACAAGTAAAGAAGTATGCGAGATGGCGGTACTTAGAGTGTTTACTAGATGGACGCACGGGCGGAAGCATTGACGGATGGACAGACAGACTAGCAGACGGACTTACGGATAGACGGTCGCGTAAAGCGGGTATGGGCCACAGGGTATGCGAGATGGCGGTACTTGGGGTGTTCACAAGATGGACGTACAGACGGACGGACAGACAGACTAGCAGACGGACGGACAGATAGAAGGACGCGAAAAGCGTAAATGTGCCACAGAGTATGCGAAATTGCGGTACTTGGGGTGTTCACTATATGGACACACGGACGGACGCATGGGCGGACAGAGAGACAGACTAGGAGACGGGTGGAAAGATAGACGGACGTGTAAACGGGTTATGTGCCATAGCACATGCGAGATACGAGATGGTAGTACTCGAAGTGTTCATTAGATGGACGCACGGACGGACGCATGGATGGACGGACAGACAGACTAGGAGACGGACGGACAAACTTATTGAACGGATAAAGCGGGTATGTGCCAAAGGTTTTGCGAGGTAGCGGAACTTTGTTCACCATGTGGACGCACGAATGCATGCATGGACGGACGGACAGACATAGCAGACTGATGGATGTATAGAAGGATGCGTAAAGCGGGTATGTGCCACAGGGTATGCGAGATGACGGTAATTTGAGTGTTCACTAGTTGGACGCACGGACAGACGGGCACACAGACTAGCAGACTGACGGATGGATGCGCAAAGGGTGTATTTGTCCCATGGTATGCGAGATGATGGTACTTGAAGTGTTCAAATCGTGGACGCATGGACGGTTGGTCAGACAGTCTAGCTGAAGGACTGACGGATAGACCGATATGTAGAGCGGTTATGTGCCACGGGGTATGCGAGATGGCGGTACTTGGAGTGTTCACTAGATGGACGCACGGATGAAGGGACAGACAGACTAGCAGACGAACGGATGGGATGACGGACGCGTAAAGCGTGTATGTGCCATATGGATTTCGAGATAGTTGTACTTGGAGTGTTAACTTGATGGACGCACAGACGGACGCATGAACAGGCGGACAGACAGACTAGCAGACGGACGGACTGATAGATGGACACGTAAAGACGGTATGTGCCACAGGTTATGCGAGATGTGAGATGGCGGTGCTCAGAGTGTTCACTAGATGAACGCACGGATGGACGCATAGATGGACGGACTGACAGACTAGCAGACGGATGGATAGACAGACGCGTAAAGCTTGTAGGTGCCACACGGTGTGCGAGATGGCGGTACTTGGAGTGATCACTAGATGGCCGCACAGATTGACGAATGAACCGACAGACAAAGAAGCAAACGAACGTACGGATAGAGAGGCGTGTAAAGCGGGTATGTGCCACAGGATATGCGAGATGGTGGTACTTAGAGTGTTGACTAGATGGACGCACGAGTGGCCGCATGGGCGGACGGACTGACATAGCAGACGGATGAACGAATAGACAGACGTGTGCAGTGGGTAAGTGCGACAGGGTATGTGAGATGCCTGTACTTGTAGTGTTCAATAGATAGACGTATGGACGGACGGACAGACAGGCTAGCAAACGGACGGACGGATGTACAGACGCCTAAAGCAATTATCTTTCACAGGGTATGCGATATGGTGGTACTTGGAGTGTCCACTAGATGGACACACGGACGGACGCATTGACGGATGTACAGACAGAGTAGCAGACGGACGTTCGGATAGACGGACGCGTAAAGAGGGTATGTGCCACAGGGTATGCGAGATGGCGGTATTTGGGTTGTTCACTAGATGGACGCATAGACGGACAGACAGACTAGCAGACGGACGGACGGATAGACGGTCGCGTAAAGCGTGTATGTGCCACCGGGTATGCGAGATGGCGGTACTTGGAGTGTTCATTTAGATGTACGCACGGATGGACGCATGGATGGACGGACAGACATTCTAACTGACAAACGGACCTATAGACGGACGCGTAAAGCGGGTATGTGCCACGGGGTAAGCGAGAAGCGAGATGGCGGTACCGGGAGTGTTCGCTAGATGGACGCACGGACCGAGTAGTAGACGGACGGACAGATAGATGGACGCGTTAAGCGGGTATGTGTCAAAGGGGATGCGGCATGGGAGCACCTGGAGTGTTCACTAGTTGGACGCACGGACGGACGCACGCAGAACGGAAAGGCAAACTAGCAGACACACAGACGGATAGACGGACGCGTAAAGCGGGTATGTGCCACAGGATATGCGAGATGGCGGTACTTGGGGTGTTCACTAGATTGACGCATGAATGGATGGACAGACAGCCTAGCAGGCGGATGGACGGATAGACGGGCGCGTA